TGGTCCTAAGGACATGGCCCTGGTCAGGGAAATATACTAGACCTTTTATTTGCTTAATTTTGTTCTGTGATTCCTGTGACTCACAATTTTTTAGTTAAAGCATGTAAAACTTGCACATTTTCTGAATTCACCCGAAGCTTTTAGGAGCCCCTCTGCACTCACTACTTCAAATGGGACTATAATTCCATTTCTTCCTCCCACTCATCTCTGTATATTTACTCCAGAAACTTTTGCTTCAGTCAGTGAAGTTGATTTTATAATTAGGTGTGTAGCTAAAATGTTGATCTCATGAAGTATCAAGACTACATATTAGATATCACTAAAAGAGAGAGAGAGAGATGTAATTTGAAAGAGGAAGCAGCAGAGGGAGAGTTCTCCTTGCATTAACTGCTCTCTTGCTGTCTATGTGCCTAAACATACTCAATTTGAACATGGGCCAGCAGTGTGATGCAGTTGTGAAAAAGGTAAATATCGTTCTGGAGTATATTAACAGGAGTGTTGTATGTAAGACATGGGAAGTAATTCTCCTGCTCTATTAGGCACCAATGAGTGGAGTATTGTGTCCAGTTCTGGGCATCATGCTTTAGGAAAGATGTGGACAGGTTGGAGAGAGTTTAGAGGAGAGTAACAAAAATGATAAAAGGTTGAGAACACCTGACCTATGAGGAAAGGTAGGAAAAACTGGGCCTCTTTAGTGTTGAGAAGAGACTGTGGGGAACCTGATAAGTCTTTCAATAGGTCAAGGGCTGTTATAAAGAGGACACTGATCAATTGTTCTCCATGTCCACTGAAGGTAGGGCAGGAAGTCATGAGCTTAATCTGTAGGAAGGGAGATTTTGGTTAGACAGTAGGAAAAACTTTGATTCTCAGGGTAGTTAAGCTCTGGAACAGGCTTCCAAGGGAAGCTGGGGAATCCCTGTCACAGAAGGGCTTTAAGGACAGATTGGACAAACACCTGTCAGGCATGGTCTAGATTTACTTGGTCCTGCCTCAGCACAGGGGGCTGGACTAGACGGCCTCTCGAGCTCTGACATTTCTATGATTCTATAGGCCAAGTAAACTGATTGTAATTTAAGCAGCAATTTTAGAACTGCTACAGGACTACAAGCACCCCAGCCGGCAAAAGTATTGCAATGAAATGGCTGAATGCTAACAGGTCATCAGAGGGCAATGTGGTGAATCTGCTGAGGGTCAGTCTGCTGACTGGACAGTGACAGGCCAGCTAGGAGGGGAGGGTTCTGGGGCCATTGGTAGGACGACTGGAGCCTCAGGGGAAGAGCAATAGAGATGGCCAGCTGTTCCTGCTGGTGGCTCAGGGAGGCTGAGCTGTGGTTTTCAGAGTTTTCTGTGCGCTGGAGGGTTTTCTTGGTCTAAGATAACTGGACATATGATTGTAGTGCAAATGCTGGAGGTGAAGTGGAGTTTGGGGTGGAGGCTGACAGCTCACGATGCCCCGTGTAATGACCTTGCGACCCCATAAGGGGTCACAACCCCCAGTTTGAGAACCCCTGAACTAAAGCTTCAAAGTCAAATTGTGGCCAGCATGTCTGTTTCCTATATGTCCAATACGTATGATATATATACCTTATATTCCTTTTTTTGCCCACACACTGGTGCTGCATCCATCCTTGCTTCCTGGATGAAAAAAGGAATTGATGCTTCGTACAGTGCTTGAAAGGGAGGCTTATTCTTTCATTTGAAGATGATATCTCTGAGATGCCTACAGCAAGAGGTTATTGTGGTGCTATTGGTTGGTTGTAATGGAAAACGGGAAGCATTGGTGATTTATTTAAAATCAATTGCGAGAAGAAAGGATGTGTTCTAGTTCTGCAGTTCACAAAAACAGTCTGCAGCCATGTCACCTTGGTTGTGATCATGCAAATGACTGCAAACCTCTGTAGTCATCCTCCCTTTTCTTATGCAGTCATTGTGGAGGTAACTACCAAGTTCCAGCAATTCAAGCCCTTTTTGGTCAGGCTTCAGACTAGGTTGTGGCCCTGATGCCACTGATAGATGGTCTCCTTGTGGCTGTGGAGAAGAGGATAAACCTGAATGCTTGTACTGCTGGATCATCTACAACCTTCGCTGCAGTACGTTATTATGTGAGGAATTGCTTACTTTACAATTTTATAAGTAATTCGGTGCTTTACTCTACAGGAAGCTGGAATGACATGGAAAGATAACAAGAATTTTTTTAAAAATAGAATAATATAAACTGAATACACATCAAAGCATTTGGCCTTGATTTCTCAATTCAGTTTTATCAGTTTTAATAATTCCCTACTGGCTCAGGTTTTAATTTTAGCCCAGCAGTGAATTAAAAAAAAAAAGTTATTTAAAGTAAGTAGAAATTTAATTTTTCTGCAGGAAGGTAAATAACTGACTGCAGTGAACCCTGATAACTGAATGCCTGGATGTAAAGTCCATGCTGTCTCCTGGGTTGTTTAGTCTGATCTGAGTTGCAGCTGTCTTGCCTTATGTGGAAAGTATTATTTCTGCCAATGTCCACCCTCCAACAAATGAAAAACCCAACCAGGCTTTAGGCAGAGACATTCCCCAGGTTCTCAAGGAGGAATAGTTTCTTCTGCTGCTCGGTTAACTTCTTTTCCATTATTTCATAGCCATGTTTCAAGATTTCGGTCTGCAGTTCTGAGGTTCACATCTGTCTCTGTTCCCTGGAACTCTCATTAGAGTCTCAGCATTTGCTGTCATTTCATTCCTCAGCACCCTGCAGTCATTGAAGGACTCTCTTGTCTTCTGTTAACTGGTGGCAGCTGCCCACTGTCCATTAGTTAGTCCTAAACCATGTAACATCACTGAAATTCTATTTCATATGCTAATCTTCGAAAGCTCAGGGTGCAGAGACCATCCTTCCAGTTATCCCACTCCCTTCAGAGCTCTCAAACCCTGACCCAAAGGACGTTGTCGTCTCCCATTATGCTTCTCTCATATTGCCTCTTGAGTGCTGACAGCTCCTGCCAACTAGGCAGTGAAGACTGAATCAGATCTGAACCTGGGTTGATTTAAATAGTTATACAATACTAGGACCGGGTCTCCTATGCTGGAGTCTTAAGAAATAAGAAATGACATGCATGCTGAAAGGCTCCGTCTTACAAATGTTTGCCAGGAGCTGGACAGATTTTCTAATAGTCAATGAGAAAATTATGCTCAATTGTGATACTTTCAGGTTAGTTATTGTAGCCTTGTTCCCCTGGGAAAACATTTTCATTCTGTCCTGGATTTGTGTGCCGAGCTTTGAAGATGGTTAATGCTATAGAAATCTTGGATTGTATTTCATTTTATTTACTCCTCTAGGTAGTTTTCAGCATGGGTAAATGGATTTCGAGCTTCATCTGAAAGTCATAGCACAGTATTCGGTGCATTTAGTATTAATCAGTTCTATTACAGTGTAACTCAGTGGCATCAATCAGATCAGGGCCTTATTATCCTGGTGCTGCACAAATACATAGGAAACATCATGGTTCCTGCCTCAAACTTCCCACCTACAAAATGCAGCAGGTGAGAACAAACAGAGGCAATGGGCGAGAAAGGGTATGGGTAACAGTGATAGGAACATGTGGCTACCTAGAGCAGCTATGTGCAAAATTTGCAGAATCTCATTTTACTCTCCTAAAACAGATGTTGTCCGGAATCCCTGCTGTCCAGCCATGATCAGCTGACATTTTTGCTGTAGGCAATGAGGTAAAGGTGTAAGTGTTGGGCTTGGAAGAAGGCAGAGCTTTATGGCTTAGTCTGGGTAGTTATTCCATGCAATAAGGAGCACAATGGAAGAAAGCACACAGGTTTTTGTGGAAGAATTGGTAAAGTAAATGCTCAAGGCTGGAATAGCTAAAAGAATTAGGTGCGTGGGTGAATATACAAAAAGGTTCAAGACCAAGTAAATAGACAGAAGATGAGCAGACAGGAGGGGCTAAGATTGAGATTTTCAAAAGCTCCTAAGTCACTTTGAAAACTTCACCATTTAGCGTGTGAAGAACTTTACAGATGCTGCATCAGTGAGTTGTTCCCCCATCAGAACTGAAGTGCCGTGGGGAAACCTACACAGCTCCTGCTCCATACTCCAAGCTCTGAAGAGTGTTGCTCACTCAATGGAGAACCGGAACCAAGAGAGGGAGGGTCTAATGTGAAGTACCTAAAAGTATAAACATGAGCTTTCAGTGGATGTGGTGGAGAAGGGAGATCCAGTGGAAGAATTGGAAGAATAGGATTAATGGCTAGAACAGTAGGCTGGAAAGGCTAGCAGCAGTGTTTTGAATAGACCAGCGGGGAACAAAGTCAGTGTCTGAGGAAGACCTTTTAAATTAAGTACTTCACTTCTCACAAAGTTAGGTTTTTTATTCTATAGTGGGGAATGAGTAGAAGAGAAGTCTTGATGTTTCAAAATAAATTAAGAAAATCATGGTTGTATATATTACACCCCCATGTCCTTTCTATTGTGTGCATGTGTGTGTTTTAACAAAGTGATTTTTATTTTTGGAAGCAGGAGATCAACATGCATGTCTTTTGAGTCCTGAATTCCTCAGACTTTTAACAGAATTGATACAGTCCTCTGCTGTAGGATGTAAGATGATTTTTATGACTGAGCTGCCTTCCAAGGGTGACGACATCTCTTGCAGCTAAATTAGGGTGGGTGGACAGTAGATGCTGCTGCTAATAATAAAAAAATAATCTGGGGGAAAAATTTTCTTGCCATTAAGTAATTGCAGTTATCCCTAGCCCCCATATCTCCCCCCACACAGGGTTTTACAGAGCTACCATAGACTCACCCTGAGAGCTTTTCCAGTATGTGTCAGCCTGCCGTGCTGTGCTGTCTGCTCTCATGATTCCAGAAGAGCGTATTTGGTTTATTGTCAGATTGGTTCCATCAATTTCCATTTCCTTCTGAATGGATAATAACATGAAGAATCATTTCAAGTCCAGGAGTGTTGGTGTGTGAGGGAGAGAGGGAGGGTAGGGTGTTATGCGTAAGGCTTTAGGCAGGAAGCAGCCGAAGAGGAGGAGTAGAAGTAGCAATCGCTGCACAGCTTTCTCTCTGCCTCTTTTAAGTACAATATTTTCTGTTGAGTCACAACTGAAGATACAGCTGAAGTTTGACTGCACTTGGTGCTGGCTGGAAAAGGGAAAAATGAATTATGTTGCTGAACTAAGAAATTTCTTTTGAGGAATCCTCCTTGAAACTGACTGGATTCTGTGGATTTGTGGCTTTACATTTGTTGCCTTCTGTTTTTCACTTTGGATATTTAGCAGCTGTCTGCATTTTTTAAATGTCTTCAACTTTACACTATTCCGTATCCCAGGGTTGAGGTAGAACAGGATATTTGAGATGCCTTTTACAATAGCATCTCCTTCCCAGCAACCTGTGACGGGACACCAAGAATTATGTGTTTATAATCTACATTGTGAAAGTTCATTGTCTGGCTAACCTGTAACAAGATTACAAATCCTTCCAGATTTGCTTCTTCTGTCAGAACATGCTGTTGTGCTTTATAGTTTTCTATTAATTCAGTGAATTTCCTTTTAATTTAACCTTTTATTTTTGTTTGAAGCAGTAAGGTAAGTGATTGGAACAGGTGAATTTGCTAAATGTAAACTTCAATTTGCCAGCAAGTACTAAAGTTTATTGGGTCCAAGGAAAATTGCTGTGTATTTTTAAGTTGATTATATATATATTATATATATTCTTTATTTATGTAATATATTTTGGTGATATTACCCTGCTGATACAGTAGAACCAACAGAAGCTTACAGGAGTTAAACACACGTGCATTGAGAGGAGAACCTACTCCATAATGTGTGTATTCATACGCTTTATATTTTTACTATCTATACTCATTTACTGAAGGAGTCTTTAGCATTGGTATAGTTGAAGGTTGTGTCAGTGTTTATTCTGAATATCTTTGAGTTAGGAGGGTTTATATTTCTGCTTGAACTTGGCATCAAAGATCTTTACTAAGGGAATAGTTGAGGGAAAAGTTTTTTTTTTTTTTTTTTTAATTAGAAAATAATTTTAATTTGATCACTTGAAAAGTAACTGGTTTGAGTAACTCAGTTAATGGTTTCAGATTCTTCTATGAATGCCAGTCACAGAAAAGGGCTCCCTTTTTAAAACCTGAAAATGTTTGCCATTGGCCTAATTTCATGGGTTGAAGAGCTTGTGAGCTGGCAAGGGGAGATGATGACTGGCATGAAGCAAGCATCAGGGATGCTGTACAGGCTTGTGAATCAGAGCAGATGGTGTGACAATTTCAGATATCTTCTCACCTTCTATTTCTGCCCCTTTTTTATGGGCGACTCACTCTTACTAATGCAGAAAGCCTTTCTGAGATGAACTTCCAGACTTAAAAAGGACTGGCAATGCTATTTATCTTTACATACAAAGGAAGAAACGTTGAGAAATAAATCTTGTTCAGTTTGAGCACTCTTGGACTAAAATCCTTTTTGGCTGAGGCTTAGCAGGGTGAGCTAAAAAGCAAGCATGTTCCATCAACTTTATATGTTCTCTTTCATAATTCATCTAAATGACAATGGCTGCTGTTTGTCCCCTTAAATTGATCTAGACAGTCTTAAGTGGGCTTAATAATTTATTAAACCCCACCCCCTCATTGTAATGAAGTGTTCATTTCAATTCCCTTGCAAAGGAACAAATCCCTCAGCCCATTTTGAGGGTGGGATAAATCCCAGGAAGAATTACTGAGCTGGTTAGAGCTTGGCCAGGGATATGAGCTAGTGCCGGTCGTTACCTCCAGCTGTGATAAGTACTGTTTAACACACAAGTTTGCATCTCCTAATTGCATCATTTACCCAGCATTACCTACCATCTCCAACTGTGATTGACCTTGTAACCCACACAGTTCTCCACACGCATTGACAGCAAGCTGGAAAATCAGTTCCATGCCCTTTCAGTGAGCAATTCCAGTTCTGAGAAAAATCTTATTTCTCCTCTTTCATTCTGGTGGCTATTGTCAGAAACACTGGGGCTGCCTGGGAACTCAAACTGTTCCCTCTGCTCTCTTTATGGAAGCCAGTCTGTCATTTAGACTGCAAATGGGAGAAAGGTACAGCCTGTAACAATTCTCTTACTTGAAACAGAACTTAGCATCCTTTAACCATTTCATGACTGTGCCTCTGTCTCTCATTGAAAGATATATCTAGGTTATTTGGAAGCACTGCATGCGCATTCTACCTTGGATGTAACTGGAATGTTCAGAAGTAGTTTCAATGACCCAGTAAGTAGCTTCCTAAATTCTGGAATCCTAGGTGACTAGTCAGGAAAACCTGATACTTGTGTTTCAGTTGTTAAGTGTCATTTCCTTTCAACCTGGCTTGTCAGTTGTAGTGCTTGGTCACTAGGGTTCTGATTTAGGTATGTCTGCTTTAAAGAAAACTTTCATCTCTGATCAATTACAATGCTCCTAGGTTGTCATTTTTACCTAAGCTCTGTTTGAGGGACCTGATTTATCCAGTCTGGTGAAAAATTCAATATACTTTAACATGAAGATTATGAAACTAAGAGAGCTGCTGAAATTAATTCCACTTAATCTGCTGTTTGTATTCAAACACTTGACTGCCCCACTTGCTACTGTATATCGGTAGAAGTAATTTTGCATGAGAATATGAATAAATAAGGTTTTCCTCTTGTTTCTCAGGGCAGCCTTCTCATCCTCTTGCCCTGTGCTGTGTCTTGGAAAGGCATTCTCAGGTCTGAAAGTATACTTTAGGATTTGTTGTTTACTCAGGGTCAGGCATGAGTTGCAGTGGTAAAACTCAAACCTGTCACTTTCATAGTGAGTGGCATTCAGCCCATTACCATCTTTTAACTCCGTGACAGCTCCGTTCCTTTGACTCTTGTCTACAAGTTGCTCATTTTTGGCCACTAACGAGCAGGACATCCTTACCCTCTTAATACATGTATTCATAGAATCATAGAATATAAGGGTTGGAAGGGACCCCAGAAGGTCATCTAGTCCAACCCCCTGCTCAAAGCAGGACCAATTCCCAGTTAAATCATCCCAGCCAGGGCTTTGTCAAGCCTGACCTTAAAAACTCCTAAGGAAGGAGATTCTACCACCTCCCTAGGTAACGCATTCCAGTGTTTCACCACCCTCTTAGTGAAAAACTTTTTCCTAATATCCAATCTAAACCTCCCCCACTGCAGCTTGAGACCATTACTCCTCGTTCTGTCATCTGATACCATTGAGAACAGTCTAGAGCCATCCTCTTTGGAACCCCCTTTCAGGTAGTTGAAAGCAGCTATCAACTTTAAAAACTTTTAAAGATGCTTTACCACTCCCATCTTTGTTCCCTCTAAACCTCACACAAACAGCAATGTTAAAAGAATATTAGGGTTGCAAAGTTAAGCTCCCAAAAATGAGGACATGCGAGAGATAGGGAGGATGGTCCAGTGGGCATGCCACTAGGTTGGGGGTAGGAGACGAGGTTGGCTTGTCTGTGTGCACAAAAATGTCCTGCACTGTTTTTCACCTTTTCCAAACAAATCCATTCTTGGGCAAACCCCAGACCTGGAAAACGTCTTCCCGAAATGTTTCAGAAAGGGCTGAGGAACTGCAAATGGTGATTAGAACAGAAACAGTTTGGAACTGTAACAGTCACTGCAGTTCTTGCTCTTATACAGTAACAAACACTATTATTATTAAAAAAGGAACTGACGTGTATAATAAAACTGTCGCTCACAATCCCTTACTTATAATGTTGCTCTTTCTCATACTTTGTGCAGCATCCACCATTCTTTCACTTTGATTATAAATGCTATGGGCATGTTCCCTTTTTAAAATTCATCTGTAAAGTGCCGTGCACATCTTCTCTGTCACTTCAGTAGCAGTAATGTTCTCCAGGTGAACGAGTTTTCAGATTATTCTCTCTTTTAGCAGCACTTAGTGCTGTTGCCATGAATCCAGACTCACTGAGCTGTGTAATTTTTTTAAAAAGTAATTCGTATTATGACTCTAAAACAAGTGGCAATTTCTATTACTTATTGGAAAATCAAGTTTTGGAAGAGAAGAGGTGTTAGAAAAAAGCAAAGAAATACGAAGTTGCCTCCCTCAAGCGCTGTCTAATCAAAGCCTAAACCTTTTCTTGTCAATTAAAATGTAGCCTGCCAGTCTCCAGAGATGGTACTGCCAGCAACAGTGCCTGTAGCTGTTCCACACCACTCAGTCAGACCCCGTCGTTTGGGTCTTTATTGAAACCCTTTCAGCAATGAGTATATTTAAGATTCTATAAAAATTCTCAGGAGGAAACAATGTTGCAGCATGTAGAAGAGTGCTGGCGAGAGGTTGCTATGGCAGCCTTAACTATGAGATTCCTTTCTCTTGTTCATGTCAAAATCTTGCAGTTACAAAGTGTCCTGCATTTCAGCAGGTATTTCTTTACATTTACTGATGAGGTAACGTATCAATTATTTCACCTCATTGCTTTTCTTATTTAATTGTTAGCACAGGTAATACAGAACTTTAAGCATTTTCAGATACGTTTCGTGTGAAATCAGATACCGTGGCTCAGGGTGCATTCTGTGGGAGCCCTGGTAGATGAAAGACTGTTTCAAAATATTTCTCCTCTGCTGGAATTTGTTGCCCTCTTTGAGCCCCTTCACCATTCTAGTGTTGCCTTGATCATCTTTCATCACATTCAGACTGAGTCTTTTAACTGTACTGGGGGACTGGGGTGGGAGATATGTCTTAAAGTACCAGGCTTCTGAAAGCTTCTTGGTCAGATGAAGTGGGGTCTGAGGACATATTCTGGCAGTGGCTTAGCAACGCAAAGAATAGGGCACATTCACTAAGACTGACTTCTCTTTCCTGGAGCCACTCGGTGCTGCTGGAGAAAGATGCTGTAAAGCTGCTCCTCACGCTCTGCACTGTATCCGTGCAATGGTTGACAGAGGGACTGAGCTGGGGTGAAGTCAAAGCCACCGCTCAGCCCAAGTTGCAACGAGTTGTTTTCCCTTGGGGAAAGCCAAGATCCTCAGAACTGCACTGTGAATGTAAAGCCCTTGTATGTCCCCGAATGTCGAGCATTAGTCTCATCATTGCATCTATTCGTTTTCTTCTTTGGATCTTTTACACTCTTGTTTATCACCCCAGTGTGCTTACTGCTTGTGTCCCCCTGATTTTCACTCCTGCTTGTTCTGCTGTCGTATATCTATAGGGCCAGAAGAAAATTAATTTGTGGCATTCATACGTTATGGGGAGACATTCAAAGACTGAAATGGGAGCTAGGTACGCAACTTCCATTGGCTTTCACGAGTGTTAATTCACCTCATTCCTTAACGTTTTCACTTTTTAAAAAGTTTGTCTTCATCCCTGTGGAGCTCAAAAAATCTGGAGAGATTTTGCTTACTTTGGCCAGAGATGAATTTTTTGGCAAGTTTGAGTGGTGACTTCCACCATATGACACGTGAAGCAGAGTATCCATCTAACAAGGGGCCCTGCTATATCTAGAAAAAGGTCAAGGTGCAAATATTTTCTCTCTTTAGAGACTAGGCCTCCTGTTAGTTGTACTGGTGTTGGGTCAGACAGTAGAGGTTTCAGCTGTGT